ATTTATTGCCTTCATACGAATGCTGTGAGAGTTGTCACGCCCATTCCTTGGGGCGACCTCTATGGAGCTCGGGAGGGCTCGAAATAAAGGTTGTTCTTTCACAGATACAAGTACACTTCTCAAATATTTAGTGGTTATTTCATTTTATATAGGTACTAGGTATATAAAATAACTGCCTTCTTGGCCAAGTAATCGTAAATGCGACTACCGGACAAGGGGTCTCGGGTTCGATTGGTGGAAAAGTATTGCTGGGTTTTTTAAAAATATATGTCAGTTGTAGCACGGAGTCTGTAATTGTGTATGATATATGGGAATAGGCTGACGCCCTATTACATGAGACTCATAACATAAATAGTGAACACTGGGTGTTACATTGCACAGTGGCATTAAGAGATGTAATATTTACCTCTTCCTACCCCTTTGGGGACAAAAAGGCGTGATGTTATGTTATTAACTAGGCAAGAGTTATATACACCAAAATTCAATCTTTTTAGGTACTGAATATAGCTTTAACCCTCAAAATGGCAACTACTGCATTCGGCAATATTCCCAGAACGTGCAATCTAAATGCAAATTACGTGGTAAGCGAACGACTTAGCTTTCACTAAACTTAACGATACGTTTTACGATAGTCCTTCCGAGTTTTCCGACTGTTCCGACTATTTCCGTATTGCAGTCGAATTGAGGACGGTCGGCCTTAATTCCGAGCCCTTAGTTCCTTATTTATGTTCCTACACCACCGTCAGTATTTTTGCGGTTTTATTATTTACATAAACATCATACTTTGAATTCTCCGAAGAGGTTTGCAGTGGTATGTTTATAGTTAACCTATTTTCCATTAGTTATATTAATAGACCCATGTGACTTGCGTGAGTGTTGATCCTATTCGTTGGAATTCAAAGTCAAACAGTTTATTTATATTAATCCTTAATTATACAGTTTTGAAACGTCAAAAGTTGAACTCCGTCAGTCTGTTTTTCATTCAAGCTAGGCACTTGTTACAAAGTGTAGTTTCGAATGAAGAAAAAGAGAGGAGTAACAATGGCGGAAATTTTTTTCTTCTTCTTTGGCAACCGAGTCTCCAATACGATGTTGTGGACTATACTGCCAGTGTCGGGAGGGAGGAAATTCTGTTATTACGCACATTCGAACCATCAATTAAAAACCTTTTCTCGATTTCTCCAACCTGTAAAAACAAATATCGATTTCAGTATGTAATACCAGCCTTTTCTAGCTAACTACATTTTGTCTACATAGTTTTCACAGCAATATCCAAAATATAACATTTAACTTAATTTTGGACTTCCAAAAGAGGATATTATTCAATGAAGAAAGTAAATCTCCTGTTTTGGAAGCATTGCGTGAAGGACTCAAGTATCTGGGACACGGATTTACTGGAGTCCTATTGTAACACGACACTCATTGACGAAATCCCTTTATAATCGTATTTTGATAATCCACAGGATCCGGCCCTGGTTTGTCTTCACGTTTTATTATAAAAACATTAATTGATGTAGACAAAATCGTTTATTTTTAAAAGTAAAATGAGAGATATGGTGCCTTTAAAAATACTCTCGGTTTAAGTAGGCTATTCGGTGTCGTGTCCAGTATAATTTAATTTTATCTCATTTAAATACATCATGTGCAGTTAGTAAAATATAAGTAAACTCGATCACGAGACAGGAGAAAGATGTAAAAAGGTATTGAAATAACAATTTTAGTGAGTTTTCCAATATTTTGCTGTAAATCGTAATAATCTGTCCGATCGTTTTCTCTACTTAGTTTTCTCTAGCAAACGTACTAGCAGAAACATTAACATTTACGAAAATAAAACATTAAACAGTCAGATCGGTCGATAGCCAAGCGTCTAGCTTTTTACTTTTTCACATTCATAAATATTCATAGTGCAGAAAGAGTAAAGAGGGTTTGCGGTGGGAATGTATGTATGTATGTTCTTTTGCGAGAGAGCGCAATATGCTGAGTGGTACAGTGGCGTGGGGTATTGTACGGCGGGCGTCGGGACGGCATTGTCACCGGCCTGCGTTCCCACTTTGTTCCCCGACAGTACCAACGTTATTAGGTCACAATGTGAACGTACTTGATGCTTCCATACAGTTTTTATTTCGATTGCAAGATTATTATTTGCGTTTCGATTCAGTTCAGTTCTTATTTTGGTCGACTAGTCGATGTGAAAATTCTACAGTTGGAATTACAGCAGTTCCTTACGACGAACATCAATCTCTATATGTAAAAAATCAATTGCTGTTCCTTAGTCTCGCTAAAAAGTTAACAAATATGTATATTGAGTAAAGTTACCAACTAAATGAAGTAAAAAAAGTCCTTAAAATGAAACCAAAAAGAACAATCCTAATACATATTCTATTCTGATAGAATCTATGTTGCTTCTAATGTGCTCGTCCGCAAATTTTGTTAAAATCACTCATAGAAAAAGTAAAGCTATTTAATAAATAAATAATTATCAAAGATTTTAAGTCTTATTACTTAAATAAGATACTTAGTACTTCAGCTCAGGTACGTGTCTTTAAGCTTTCCCTAATTTAGAAGGGTTTCAATCGAAAATAGAAATATCAACGAAATTATGTAAAACAGACGTCAGGAGTAGTTTTCTAGGAATTCGTAGGTGCTCCCACCCACCTCTGCAGGTAGTTACTTTCTAAATTCAGATTTTATTTTAGTACCTTAGTAACCTATATCTAGTTTTACCTAATAAGTAAAATAATTGTGTTAATTTTTATCAAATATTTTTGGTACCTACATTTTTTTCGACCTTTGTTGATTTTTGGGAGAGAGTACGTGATTTTAAGATTTTTTTATGGAATAGATGTTTGATTTTATTTATATTTTGTATTTAATTTAATAACTTAGAGGTCTACTTATCATAAAACTGCATTCATAATATCTAATATTCTTTGTTATGCACACAAAATAGAGACAATTTTTTCACATTATATGCCGAAGAGTAGGTACTGGAATAGCTAAGGATTACTTGATTTTACACAATTCGTAGATCTTTCTTAAAATGATTCCGATATTCGTGTACAAGTAAAATATCACATTGTTACAATAAGAATTTATAGACTCCTATAATCTTATTGACATTCAAACATGGCCGGGAATCGTAATCTCATTGACATTTAATACCTTGTGGCCACCTGGCGGACGGTTCAGATATCCAAGTGATGTGAATACATAGCTTACATATAAGTAACATGTACTTCATAAACGTGGAACAGAGGTACGCGCAATAATAAAGTAAGCAATTCCTCAATTCAATATCACTTCACGGGAATCCTGAAAAAGGTCCCGCTTTCCCGAATAAAGATACGCAATCAAAGTTATTGAAAGAACCCTCGCCAGCCTGATCCGGCTGGAGGCGGCACTATTCTGCAATCCTTTCGCGTATCCCGCCAACCAATCATTATCGACCACCCCAAACTTGAACTGTGACCTTTTGCAACAAACCTCCAATTAAATTTCCATTTCTTCGCCCAGTGTTATTTACTGCTACTTTGGCATTTCAAATACCCTGGAAACTCATGTTAGCATTCATTGATCTGTCGCACAATTATTTTTAGACATTTATTTACGCTAATTATTATACTGGACGTGTGAGTAATATTTATGTACGCAGCACGCAATGAATGTCAACGTGACTCATATCAAGATCAATAGTCTAGGAGTGTTAAATAAAATACGTTTCATTTTGAAAACATATTTTTATTTTCCTGTAAGTTACCCAACACTTTCTAAATAAGAGTTGGGTTAATAATAAACTTGTCCAATGTTCGACAAAAATACAACGACACGTGGAGCAAAGCTTAAAATAATTGTGACCCGTCGGCGTCGGAGACTCGCAGCGATACCCTGCTATCACAACTGTCTATAACATAGACTTAGCCGGGATCGTAAAATTCCAAATCTCACTCAAATAAAGGTCGCCCCAAATCGCACCCCTGCAGGTATTATAAAATGGCGTCATCGGTATAGAATTATAGTCTTGTGATCGGCAGGTACAAGAAAGGTTAGGTCGGCGACGGCGCGGGGGTCGGTATACGGCCTCCCCCTGACCTTTAAAGAGTCGCCTTGTCCCGCGGGAGCATGCTCGCGCCGCATTACCACGCGGCGACACATCTGAAACAGCTCATAGCATGGACGGGCTGGGAGTGCGGCTGAGCGGCTGAGCGGCTGAGCCGGGCGCACCTGTGTAGGTGGGCGCCGGCCGCGGCCGCCACTGCAGGCCGGGAGCCGACGCGGCGCGGCGCGACGGCGCGTCTCGCGCTCAACATGGCAGACACGCACCGCTAGGCATGTGCCCGTCACACATCTCTAAATATCCCAACTGAATCACTTCACACTCGCAGTATCTTATTCAGTTTAAGACTCTAATCTATCCCCAATTCAGATGAAAAACATGTAATAATGTAATTTTATGTAATTAATTACAATTTAGATTAGAAATATAAATAAATCACCTATGAAATTATAGAAATCAGACAGAAAATCATTTCTTTTTTCCTATAAAATAAAATCTTAGTAAAAATATCAGCATAAAGTATTTTTTTCAGCATTATAAAAGAAAACTCGACTGCAGATAAATATCCCAACGTTGGCTCGTAACCGCAGCGGCGCCATCGTCCCGGCCCTAGTCGTTACGTTCAGAACGGGCGCCGCGCATGCGCGCTGGCCGCTATTAAAAAATGAATTCCTGGTTCCCGCACTGTGAGCCGTACGTCGGTGTCAGCGGCTGCGTTAGGTCGGCGGCGCGCGCCAGACGGACCCGCCCGACAGAGCGCCAGCGCCAGGCCGCAGCGCGCAGTGCCGGTGCCGGGGCCGGAGCCGGGGTGTGGTCGTGCAGTGCAGTGCAGTGCGTGCAGTGAGCTGCTGATGCGGTGAGCCGCACCATGCGTCGCGCGGGCTGGTAGCGGCCGCGGCATGGCGCGCCGCGCCGCACGCGCCCGCGCCTGCTCCTCACACACACCATGAGCGACCTGCAGGCCACCTTCGAGTTCTCTGTCGAACTCTACAAGTTCTACAATGTCGACCTCTTTCAGAGAGGGTGAGTCCACTCGATATTTATTACCTGGCCGTAAGTACTAGAACCTTCATGATAACATTGATAACAACTGATAACATGTGAATTGTCCGTAAAATGAAAACGGAAAAGGATCACAGAATTAATAACAGCACCTAGAAACAGCCTAGGATTAATAAAAGGGCTCAACAATGATAACGTCATTCGTGATATTCATGGTTACATACATTCGGGGCTTGATCAATCATCGTGTTCAGCTGATATTCGCTTCGGAACATCAATCGGATGAGCGATCACTTTCTCCTTGACATTCGTAAGGGAGAGATGCCCTCTGATTGAGACGTACGCAGACAGAGATTATTGGTACATTTTCTTTCACCGCATTACCCCAACTTTAGAGCGGGATAGTGCTATAAAGATATATCGACGAAACTCTGAGTTATGAAAACCTTCTACGACGTAGAGCCTGTTTATCTGGGCATTTTGATAATTGTACTACTTATTCAAGAAAACGATAAATTAAATGAAACATTCATCCTAAACTGTCAAGTCTATTAAATCCTATATACATACTGCGTCCTACTTGAAACTAATCAAAAACAAGAAATTGTGTTAAAATAACGATACAGACGTATGCGAATTGCGAACTCCGTTCTCTCGTAAGCAGAAATGCTATTAACAAGTAACAATAGAAGTGCTCTCTGGTGTCAGATCTCGTTATGTTCCGACACGTTACGTTATTATAACATCAAACTGTCACAACTTGTTACTGAATCCTTTGGACCATATGGGAATGTAATGAAACTACGATCGTGGTCTCATTTTGAAGTATTCTTTAGGCTTAGATAACAAGACATGCTCAAAAACGTACTAAAGAACTCGCTTTAATATTTAAGTCTATACCTATATAGGCAATTTTATATATTTGATTTAAAAAATAGGACTTATTGAGTCATCACTCAGTAATTCATAAAATTGAATTCTTCTCTATATAAATATCAACGATTTTCATTGAAATAATTCATATTATTAAAAAGTTTATAGATCTAACGCTGAAGAAATGTAACGTTATTTGTCTTCTATTTAGATAATATGTACCGATTATTGTAAATTAAACAAATCATAGTTCGTATGATTAACTGAATAGCTGAAATATGAAGTAGATTTATCATGGAGGCGTTAAATTAAAATTAAACGTATGCCATACATAACGTCTGTATGCGAATATTAATCTTATTTTTATTAACGCCATTGACGGTCGCGATCAATCTGAAATATTAAAGGGGTTTTTAAAAATACGGTCCCCATCGTGACTCAGGGTTGTCGCGTATAATTATTATGATTGAATGCAAAATGCACGGCCGTGGCTGAAAACCCTTCAATTAATTCCACCAGATTGAAGGGGGGAACAAACCAGTCTGCTAATTGGTAATCACTGCTTTTAGTGTACTTTGTTTAATTAATAGATTTGTGTTGGTTGACATCATGGTATAAGTACGAAAGGTTTCGAGTCATGTTTTGGTTTCTGCCTAAATCACAACTTATTTTATTACTAGCTTCTGCCCGCGGCTTCGTACGCTCAATTCCGTTCCCGTTTAAATGATTTTCGGTCAAAAGTAAAAGAAAAAAGTATTTGATAAAAAGTATCCTATATCTATCTATCTTCATCCAAATCGATTTAGTCGTTCTTGAGTTAAAAATACACGACTTTCTTTAATATATATAGATTTCTCGTGTTTGGGGTTTGTAGTGTTGCCTTTCTATGATATCCTTAGTTAGGACCCTTAGACAATTTTTATATAGGACTCGCAACCTAACTGGCAAAGTGTCTATTGCCTAACTATGGAAGAATATAAGACCCAATATTTTGTACTACGTAAAATGGTTAGATAAAATAGATATTGTAGGTAAATAATGTGTTTAACTTTTGAATTTAGATGCTAAGTGAACAATTTGTCCACGACCTTAGGGCTTAGTACGAGTTTCTTTTTCGTTTAAAGTAATCGAAACGAAATCTCGTCCGGCGCTCTGATTGGTTTGTTCATTGGAGCCGGCCAATCACAGCACCGAATGCTTACTCGTTTCGATTACTTTCAACGTAAAACAAACTTGTACTAAGGTATCTTAGCTTTTAAAATACGATCTCGCTTCACGAAGCTCGCGTGTTTGCAGGCGCAGTTTGAAAATTGTATCGTTGCGTGTCTATGTTGCAATATTCGGAATACTTTGGATCTTTATCAACATTATGGACAATTATCAAATATCTATTTAGTTATTCATTTTTATTTTATACTTTAGTGACTCATTCAAGTTTTAAAAGCCTCGTTGTGAACTCGAACATGTCACTGGTAGTTAATTTATTAATGTCCAAATACTCAATCGCCACTCAATTTAAGACACATGTAAATATAGTTCTGTCCCTACAAATTCTTTGTAAAATGACAGAGATGGCACGATACTTAAGTACAACTTATAATAGGGATGATGACGGGGTATGAAAATTAAAAATCTATTTGTCCGCACTTAAGTTAAGTAATGAAAAATATTACCTAGGCATGTATTTATTTATTTTCATGTATTTATTTATTGTGTAGTACAATTAACTAATACATAGATATAATGAATGAAAGTTTTGGAGTGGGGGCTACAACGTCATTTCTACGTATAAAATGTACATAGAAGTGACGTCACGCGACATTTCAAATCAATATATCGTCGAAAGTATTCATTTCTGTTAGAAAATAAAAAAAAACGTGTCTAATATTTTAAAATTATCTACCAGACGGACATTAAAATAAAAATTAGGCATCTACCCTATTGAGTACTTTCAGTATTCGGGGGTAACAGAAGGATTACTAAGTACGGTAGACGAGTCATGATGTTTGCGTTTTCATTTCATACACCTTTTTTTAAATAATATCTGAATAATGATAAATAGTTATTTTTTTTCAAAATCGAAGACAATAAGGTTCTTTTTTATCATTTTTTCAAATACGCTGTGAAAAACATTCAGAAAGTATTCAGTGAAATATTAAGTTTGATAAATCAGAGCCAGTTAGAATGCTTTTGGCAACGAGTGCCTATGAAATGAAAATGTTATTTACAACCTAAATGAATTTCAAAGCAAAACAAATGGTGTTAGAAAAATCAACGCCTCTAACTATAAAAAGTGAATGCATTTTATTGATTCAAGCCATTCATTGTTGATTGAAACTAGGGATTTTATTTCAGTATAAAACGATTGCCAGTTACATAAACGGATTAGATAGACAACGTATAAACGAAGCGATGGACAGGTATACAACCTGCGTGTATATAAACATGGCTCCTATTGTATTGAACAACATTCTACAGGAATAAAATCTCTTTTATTTAACTTTAATAACAATTTTAACCTTATTCTGGACGTGAATAAAAGCTTTATTTGACTTTATTTTAAAGATTTTGTCTGATAGAGGCTTTGAAATAACAAGTATCCTGGTTCATATTTTTTTTATATATATATTTGATGGGGTGACGTTTGACCACTATCTCGCCTGTGCGATGAAAAAAAAATAAAAACACATTTAAGTATATTAAAAGCCATATAAAAACCAACAAAAAGAAAACAATGATGGTTCTTACAAGATATTTCAACACACGCGTCACTAGTATCCGGCAAGGTCATTGGCTAAAATTAAATGTTTTTAACCAGCTTTTACCGTGCCATGTTTACTCACGTTCGAATGTTTTACTATACAACACGTTGCACACAATGTACATAAACAGTTGTAAAACAAAGTCCGATAAACTTTGTAAATAAATATAGAAAATAGATCAAAACACTCGCAATCTTAAAAAGGCTACGTCTGTATAATCCGATTAGAGAATGTTGAACTAATCAGCTGTTTTAAATCGATAATTATTTCCGTCTAATAGATATAAAACGCTAACTGTTGTGGCCATGTTATATAAAGAAAGCATTTATAACAGCTCAAATTGTGTCCTAACATCAAAGATTTCATCAAGACTGATGTTCTGGAATGATAAAGTGGTCATCGGCCATTACCATAAAGACCAAATATTTATCACTTGTGAATTAAACTTGATGATAGATTGATCAACTCAATTAGCTCTTTTCATTCAAAAGGTACAACATGTATTAAGTATTTGGTGAACCACAAACTGTCAATAGGACTGCCATGCTGATTATGGCTACACCAAAATAAACACGTTTTCTTAGTTAACAAAAATGTGCTCGTTACGGACACAAGGTGCAAAACAACTTGCATTAAATAACAATGAATTATGTAGGTATTTAATAACACGCACATTTTACGATGAACACATAAAACAACACTATTTTATCTTTTAAATTGCAAATGACAAGACTCCTACGCATCGCGAGCAGTTTGTGACCCAGTTCTATATTTGTGGCGCGTGTCATTCCAAGTATGTCTGCCACAGAATAAATAATATTATTCCGACTATTAACAGGTTAACACATTTCTTATGTATTTTGTTATAACCGAGTTCCAATTTTAATATTTTTATCTTATACTTCTGCGACTCTTTGCTAGCTAAGATTGACTCTCAGCATAGGCTTCCAGGCTTCTCCTATTTATTAAACCGATATTTTCAGTAGTAGGTAGCAATAGTTATTCCCTACAAGAAACTATATTCTTTGGCTAAATTGACTAGATAATTACCATCACATACCATAAACACGTCAGATTTTCCCGTGTTCACCAGCCTGAACACCCATCTATCCAACTTTTAAAAACAAGCATCTAAAATTGCTACACAAACTCCAAGTGCTCATAAAACTTCAGAGCTTCCAGCTACGTTTATTAAAGAGCCAAAACCCACTTTTCCGAATACTCAAACAACTTGCATTAATCAAATTACGGCTGACTCACTCTCACTCCACCTTTAACTAGCGAGGCAATAGTTCCAGGGAAACTAGTTAAACTTTTGAATCGCAAAATTAGATTTTAAATGCTTTATGCCCACAATTTGAAACGAGGGAGATGTCTACACTAGTA